TTATGAGTTCAGTGACATGCAGAGCAGCTTTCCGTAAGGTTGTGCGGGATAGAGACACCTTGATATGGCTGTTGAAGAAAGGGGTACCATGACAGAGGCTTTGAGTTGGCTGATTTAGTCCCCTCCTTCAAGTTGCTACATGTCAGAAGTTGGAACAAACATAAGTTGTTGCCGATGAGGAGCAGGCTTGATGCAATTCTGGAAGTCATTGTTGATGAACACAGAGATAACCAAGCCACATCAAAGAAAGGCAATGGAGAGTTTGGTGGAGAAGACATAGTCAATGTTCTCCTGAGAATGAAGGAAACTGAGGAACTCGACTTTCCCATAACAAACGACAACATCAAAGCTGTTATTTTCATAATGAAAATGATATTTAAAAAGATTTGGCTTGTTTGATATGATGGACTATTTATAGTATTAGGCTGTATTTTGACGCTTACAGTTATAAATATTGCAGGACTTGTTTTCAGCTGAAACTGAGACCGTATCAACAACGGTTGATTGGGCCATGGCGGAAATGATGAGAAATCCAGATGTGATGGCAAAGACGCAAGCTGAAATAAGACATACTCTCAAGGGAAAGAAAATGGTCGACAAGGGTGTTATTCAAACACTGAAAAATCTGAAGTTAGTTATCAAAGAAACTTTTAGGTTGCACCCTCCAATTCCTTTACTCCCAAAAGCATGCAGAGAAGAAATAAGAGTTGATGGATACACAATACCTCTAAAATCCAAAGTCCTGGTAAATATTTGGGGGCATGGGAAGAGATCCGGCATACTGGGATGACCCCAAAAGCTTCAAACCAGAGAGATTTGAGAATAATTCCAATGATTTCTTGGGAAATAACTTTGAATATCTTCTGTTCGGGCAGGAAAGAGGATTTGTCCAGGCATGATCTTAGCAAATCTTGATCTTCCTTTAGCTCAATTTCTCTATCACTTCGACTGGAAACTTCCAAAAGGAAAGAGTATTGCCGACAGACATGATTGAGGCAGACGGAATAGCTGTATCGATGAAAAAGAGCCCTTCCTCGTACTCACATCCTACACGCCTTCCATCAAAGCAAATTAATAATCCAAGAATAATGAGGCTTATTTAGTCAGCGGATTCATGTTGCAAATGATGAAATGAAACCCCAAGGTGTTCAAGGATGTTCATAGATTAAGTTTTAACTTTTCTGCCATTTTATTCTCTCAAGATATTTATGGTCATGCCTCCTCATTCCCTACTTCAACACTCCGATTTCTTGGGCATAAAATTCTACTACCAGCACTAGGAGCAACAGAGTAAGCTTGTAAAAGGCTATTGTTGGGATTATGTACAATTTTCAATTCGAAACTATCATAAGACATTTATGTTTCATTCAGATATATTTCCGTTATTGCCTACAAAATCGTGATCAGTGGAATTCATATTCTCAAGAAAAACTTCAAATGCAATGTAACATCATGACAGGATAAAACATGGGGAAAGAGGGGTTTACCATCGAGACAGCAAATCGTTTTATAACAACGAGAATCAAGAAAGAAATTATCTCCTTTGGAACAAGAAAAAGCAGATTATAAGTCATAATTATTGTGGTTTGGCCATATAAATCTCCAACAGTCAACCTGTAACTTTCCACTTACTAGAAGATCGTAAGTTAATTATCACATGACCTCTATCAAGCATTTCATGATGCAATCAACAACTCTCCTGCAACTCCCTTCCTTCTAATATCCACCACTTATGTACAAATAAAAAGAACATAGGATTTGTCCTTTTTCATTGAATCTCCTCCAAGACCTCTGAAAATGTAATGACATCGAGCAATAGACCATGGGTAAGCAACTCCTGGTATGTATCCAAAGCAAAAAGTGCACCCCCATCCTCAAGAACGAACCAAATAGAATATCTTCAACCCACATCTCATTTTTCAGCCCTCTTCACAAATCCACCAAACAACGAAGACTGCGGAGAAGGCCACTTCGAACATCTCTATGTAAACATTAATATCCGCCTCCAAAGCCATCAATGATAAATCAAGTGCAAACAGGACTAAAACCCATCTCCACCAACTTTTTCATCCTTTCTTTTGCCTCAGCTGTTCGACCAAATTTGCACAAGCCACGGATGAGAATGTTTAATGTGAAGTTAGTAGGGGCAATCCCTAAGCTCATCATATGGTCAAACATTCCAAGTGCTTTTTCACTCTCACTTCCATTGAAATATCCCTGAATCAAAACACCATATGTGACAACATTCACTTTGAAGTTCTTTTGTAACATTTTGGAAACAAAATCTATTGCTGCATCCATATTCCCTTTTCTACAGTTTCCCAGAATCATATTGCCATAAACATTTGCAGTTGGCTCAACTCCTTTATCTATCATCTTATCCCATATAGCATATGCTTTGTCCATCATACCCTCTTTACAGAACCAGGATATGAAATTATTGTACGTATATACATTTGCAATGCCAGTCTCAACAGCCACATCAAAAAATTTGGTTGCATCCTCCATCAATTGAGCTTCCAAAAACCCTTTAATTAAAGAATTTACAACACAGATGGATGTTGGAATACCTGCCTGTTTCATTTCCTTATGTATCTCCTGCACCTTCTCCATATCTCCACTCCTACAGCACCCTTCTAAGATGACCGAATAAGTGTTCTCGTTTGGAGTAAGTTCATCTTTAATAATATTGAACAATTCTAAGGCACTGTTCAAATCACCATGCAGATAGCACCCCTTCATCAAATTATTAGCAACCCTCAAATTCATCGGATGCCCACTTCTAATCATCTCATCCTTAAGCCTTATGGCCTCGACTATATTCCTTTGCTTCAGACAAGTACAGATCACACAAGTAAATGAATTCCCTGACACAACCAACCCCTTTTCCTTTATCTCCCTCAACAAGGAACAAGCTAGTTTATCGTCCAGTTTCCTACAAGCAGCCTCAACAGCTGTTCTGTAAATAGATGATTCAAGCTTAATTTCACTACCCCTCGCCTCCATGAAATACTTCTGAGCCTCCTCTACCTTACCTACTTGCAAACATGCAAGCATCATCAAATGTACAGTTGCACAATCATAACTCTCTGGTCTTAAAACCACACATCTAAACAAACTCTGCGCCTGGCCAAGCATATTTCGCTCAACCAATGTACTCAACAATTTTTTTGTATATGGGATCCACGGCATCATACCACAAATAACCATTGTTCTGAAACAACCTATAGCATCCGTATACCTATGCCCTTTAATATAAACATTCAATAAGTAATTAAATACCCGTGGATTTAACTCAAAACCAAATCTTTTTGAGCAATTAACAATGCGACGAACAATAACAGCAGCCGAGAGTACTGAATCGCTGAAGACGTAGTGATTAAGCAAATTCTTAGCCATACGGCAATGTTCAGGAGACTTTACCAAAATGTGCAGCAAGACTCCCAATGGGTCAGCGGACCCGGATGCAAAACCGTGATTTTTCTCAGCCCACTTGTAGTACTCGAGGGCAGAAACTGGGTCATCGTTCCGGGCTAAAAGTGTTCTTATGACAATTGACTGTTTTAAAACTCTGTTCTCCGATATGGGTTTTTGAGAAGTTCGGATCTTGACAGAAGTTTGGGGGTCTGAGGTAGGTTCTTTGCCAATATCGTCAGTGTTTGACGGGAATAGTTCGAAAATTTTATGAAGGGAAGTGGAAGGAGAAGCTGATGAATTAGATTTGCGAAGGATGAGAGAAAACAGTAATCTTGGAGGGATTGTTGAAGAAGAAGATAGTAACTTCATTTTAATTGTTTTCTTTTTATTTTCTGCAAGTAGAAAACCCTATAAACCCTTTTTCAAGGTTTCGTTCAAGAAAATTTGCTAGAAAATTTGGCAGTCCCTAGCCGATGGGGTTGGCTCTGTAAGTACCAATTTGTCTTTAATTTGTTCAAAACTCTTCTCTCTTTCTTTTTTTCCTATTCATCTTTAATCACACAATAAAATATTTTACACGTAAATCAATTTTTTGTCTAATTTTTAACTACGTCTCTCCAAAAATTTATCATTCAAAACAATGTTTTTTTCAAAAGAATGCCCATCAGACGAATGCTAAATGGTCCCAAATCTTCATATCCTGACACAAACAGCCTTAATATTTCACTTAATCGTGAAATTGGTCCTTTTACATTCTTTAACGTTTGAGTTCCCTAATGGATTAATAGCAGAAAACTCCCATATTTGAAAGTGAAAACCTCCGTACCGTTAACATCCGTCAAATTTCAGTTTAAAAAAAAGTAAAAAATGCCAAAATTAAAAAGGCAAAAATTGCAATTTCAGTACCCAAACTTTTACTTTTTTACAAATTAAATCCAAATGTTTATATGTGCAACCAACAATTCCAAATCTTTAAAACTTTATTTTTCACCTTACTCCATTCTACCCCACTTCATCTTCTTCCCCCAAAATAATTTTTTTTTAATTTTTCACATAAAAATCAATTAATTTAAAAAGATTAAAAACAAGATAAAAAATAAAATTTCTTCTATAGGGACCAATTTTAACCCCACATTCATGTAAAATGAAGCCATTTAATCAAGGTTTTAAATTGTATTAAACCTGAAAATTAAAAACAAAAACTGAATATTAAAAATGTATTAATTTTTGAAATTTTAAACTTTTTAATTATGTTGCAACAAAATGGTGCTGTCTGCCCAAAAAAGACAATTGACAGTGTGGTACCAATGAAGCTGTTCTTCGAGAATGTCGTTGAAACTGGAAAACCTTTGTAATACTCGCCAACAATTCCAAATCTGTCTGGCCAATGACAAAAAAGAAACCAATTTGGAATAATCTTTTGACAGATTAAGAAGATACTACCAATAACTGGAAACCTTGTCGTGACAATCGAACTATGAAGGTTTTTCGTCTTATATAAACATGCCCATAACCAAGGAATTAATCAATAGCACCCCAAATTATTTCTGCCAAATTTGCTTATTTTCTCCAGGCTCTTTTTCATGGGTTCACCACCACTATTTGCATTTCCTCCTAACCTAAACCCCAACGAGGCCAACCCGCCATGGATGAGCAAAGGCGACAACGCATGGCAACTAACCGCGGCCACGCTAGTCGGCTTACAGAGCGTGCCGGGGCTTATTATCTTATACGGTGGCGCTGTGAAGAAGAAATGGGCTGTGAATTCAGCTTTCATGGCGCTATATGCTTTTGCATGCGTTCTTGTTTGTTGGGTTTGCTGGGGATACAGACTCTCTTTCGGGGATGAACTGATCCCCGTTTGGGGCAAGATTAATGTGGCATTATCTCAACATTATTTACTTGAACAAGGATTTGCTGGCAAGTTTCCAAATGCAACAATGGTGTTTTTCCAGTTTGTTTTCGCAGCAATTACGTTGATTTTAATTGCTGGTGCTGTGCTGGGAAGAATGAATTTCTATGCGTGGATGCTGTTTGTTCCTCTGTGGCTTACTTTTTCTTACACCATTGGAGCTTATACTATTTGGTCTCTTAATGGGTGGCTGGCGGTGAAGGGGATGATAGATTATTCCGGCGGTTATGTTATCCATCTGTCCTCTGGAGTTGCTGGTTTCACAGCTGCATATTGGGTACGTATGGGGAACTTGACGACCGAAGTGTTGAACCCCTCATTTGAAAGCTTACATTTGTTTAATTTTCAACACGTCCCTTCATGTGTAGGGTAAACCATTTTTTTCAACACGTCTTACCTGTGGACAATATAAATTTTGTATAAATTTTGTTGGCTATGATGTCACGTTAAACTATTTCATTTAAAAATTTAAGATATTTGAGGGGAAACATGGCCATAACGGGTAAAATTTATCTTTCCTTCAAAAACACGAGGCTGGCAGAACTATATGGTAATAGTTTATTTTGTGATTTTCAGGTTGGTCCTCGTTTGGCAAAGGACAGGGAAAGATTTCCACCGAACAACATCCTGCTAATGTTGGCTGGGGCAGGACTACTGTGGATGGGGTGGACTGGATTCAACGGAGGAGACCCTTATGCTGCTAATATTGATGCATCCTTGGCTGTTTTAAACACTCATGTTTGTGCTGCTACAAGTTTATTAACCTGGCTCATTCTTGATGTTCTGGTTTTTGGAAAAGCTTCCGTAATTGGAGCTGTTCAAGGCATGATCACTGGTTTAGTTTGCATCACTCCAGCTGCAGGTAATTCATTTCTCAAACCCATCAAACCCTGTTTGATCTAAAGCTCTCAGACACAGGATTTCAATGTGTCATCGAAACGCACAAAAGTCTTACAATCTATAAGCCCTTCATCCGAGTTGCATGTTGAGGGACATTTGAAGCCCCTCTAAATTTTTAGACGAGGTGGTGAAGTGTAACATTAATCCAGTTGGCGATGTGGTGTGTTGAATTCTCTTTATAAATTTAGCACTTAAAATCAGATTTTTAGTAAATTTTGAAAAAAAAAAAAAAAAAAAAAAGAGGAATTGTGTTGTCTATATGATATATTAAAGGTCCCAAATTCTGAAATTTTTGGTTCGTATGGAAGAAGGCAAGTTGAAGTTGTATTAATACTCTTAGATGAGCTAATTCAAAATACCGCACGTACCACCAAATTAATTTTTCATTGAACGAGGGACATAATGTAATCATAAAAGCCAAATTAAAGCAAATTTGTATAAAAAAATCATGATTTTCTTCATATAAATGTTAGTTCGTGCGTATAGGTGTCGTACATGGATGGGCAGCCATAATAATGGGAATTTGCTCGGGCTCAATTCCATGGTTCACAATGATGGTGGTGCACAAGAAATCCGAGCTGCTTCAAAAAGTGGACGACACGATGGCGGTGTTCCACACGCATGCCGTTGCAGGAACCCTCGGAGGACTTCTCACCGGTTTATTTGCAAACCCCAAACTATGCAGATTGTTCTATGGAAAGTCTGGCCAATATGTTGGCCTATTCTATGGCTTCCACATGAAAGACTACCACAATGGTTTCAGACAAATAGGACTTCAAATTCTTGGGGTGGCGTTTGTAATTGTTGTTAACATTATCAGTACAAGCCTAATATGTTTTCTAGTAGGACTCTTCGTGCCTTTAAGGATGTCCGAGGAAGACATGGAGGTTGGGGACGAAGCTGCTCATGGCGAGGAAGCTTATGCCATTTGGGGCCAAGGCGAAAGGAGTGAGAATTCACGGTTCTCAACCTATAACGATATGGAAATCGGGGAAGCTATGTCCAATGGTCAGGTTGAAATGGCATCGACAATGTCTTAGTAGAAGATTTCGAGGTCACGGAGTTCACTAAAATTAATGTCGTTAATGTACTTATTGCATGTCTTTTGTTCTTATTCTCTTTGACGTCATTGACATGGAAAGAATATCCCTTTTGCTTGATTTTACCAATTTCATTGTCTGAAAGTTCAATGTATGTGCAGGGTGCATGCTACGGACTCATTAGGATGTAATCTAGGAAAGGTTGAAAATAAAATGCACAAGTTTGATGTTATTTGTCTTATTATAATATTCTCATGAACTTATTTAAAATTAAGTGATTACTATTTTATCATTAATTTTCATTAATCTATTTTCTTGCAATGCTAAAAAGTGGCACGTGTGTGCTACACGTTGATACGCAAATAATTTATATAAATTGCGTATCATTTTCAAAGTAGGAAAAGATAACCATATAAGTTCTAGAGAATAAAGTTAACAATATGATAATAAATATTCAATTGATTTTGATTTTATCTAGTCTTACCCAATAGAACTGGTTCGTCATGGGCAGAGAGAGCACCTAAAGGATTGTTTCACCAAACGGGATCACATCCTGACCCAAGCATTGTAACGATCCCTCTCAACTCAACACTACAGCTCTGCGGTGTTTCTTATACCGTGCAAACAATATCAGCGATATAGGGAGCTTCAACATGGGTTCTTATCGTAGCTAAAGCTCAAAATTCTATCATTAAATGAATGGCGATAAAAAAATTTCGCTAAAGCTCTTTCGCTAACTTGGGTCCGCCTTGGTCATAGATTGCAATATGAGAAAGAAGGTTCTATGAAGATGGAAACCAAACTTACATAGAGAGAAGTGTTGTTGATTTTCAAAAATTAGCTAAAAATTCACATAGAAAGTAGCCATTATATACTCAAATTTAGGGTGTGTTTGGTAGGGATTTTTGGGGGAAGAATTGATTTTTGAATAGTGATATAATGGGAAATATGTGGTTGAAAAAGAAAAAAAAAGTATTGATGTGATGGAAAATATTATTTTATTGAAAAATGTGTGGTTGAAAATGAGAATTGATTTACTGTAGAAAATGAGAATTTGTACCAAATAGGNAATCTGTACCAAACAAACCCTTAATCTTTGTTGACATCAACTTTACTTCTTTTTGAAAGTTAGGAAGCAACTCGAACAATAAGTGAGAGATCGACTATGCATATATAATTTATTGACTTGAGCACTACTAGAAATTTTAAGCATCCGAATAATAAATTACAAGTTTTAAATTAGCACTTTTATAACTAATAATATTGATTAATTAATATTATGATGATGCACTAATCAAGAATTAATGGGGGGTAGGGAGAGATTTGACTAATTGTCTGATTTAATTGAGATGCCCTAAGATTTATCATAACATGAAATCTCTCTTTGTCGGGGATCTTTGGGTCAATTAATTAATTTTATTCTCTTTTAAGATTTGATTAAGTGACTTTAAGATTTAATTAATTTCAAAGCCAACCCACATCGAGGAAAAGAAATAGAAATGCTAGGTTTGGGTTTGGATTCCTAAAATTTACAATTATTAATGTCCAATATCAATTTTCGACTCCCAACTTTCCTACTCTGATTAGCTCTCTAGTCATTGATGGGTTTATTGTCATCCAGCTCATATGATTTTTGTTATATATGTGACAAAAATCCATGATGTTGTCGCTATAAAATTTGTCTACTAACAACGGTGGACAAAATGAAAGAAAATTAATGATTTTAAAATGAGAAGAACATCTTTATAATATAAAACAAACATAAATAAAGATGGAATATGCAAAAATTCATGGACCTAAATTAGTACTACTTTTGAGTTGTGAAGCATGAGTATCGATTCTTGAATTATCAATTACAACGCAATCAAGAATAGCCCATATTTTAATTGAGAAGGAAAAAACAATGAAAAAAGAAAAAAAAATGGCCATATTATGTCCCACAGGGATCAACAATCTAGTATAGGATGAAAATGATATGTGCAACATAATGATGATACCCACATAAAATAATACGACGATTGTGGAATTTTTAGTCACCTGTCAACACAAATTGTTACATATGCGTGTTTTTATTTAGTACTTCTAATATTTTCGCCCAATATTATGAAAAAATGTGTCACGTATGTATAACCATGGATGTAAAAATTCAAAGCTCAATTACATTGGAGCCATTTCAATTCGTGTTTAGTTCTCGACATTTTTTTTCATACAATTTTTGACATTTGTTAAAGAGACTCGATGACCGTTTTTTCTTTTGTCAAAAAGGGTTCCAAAAAAATCATCAACTTTGAAATCCCAAGCTTAAAACATCATTTTTCAAGTCCAAAAGCAATATGAACAAGAGAAGTAAATGAACGCTTGTGTAATATTGTTGAAACTCTAATTATTCGCAAAAGTAAATTTTTTTGAAAAATAAAAATTTATATAAAAGAATTCAGCTTTGGGACACACCTTCATAACTTTCTAACATGAACAAACGGCTATTTTCCCCTTCAGTTATTTTCCTTTCCTTTTAATGCCCTTGATCTTGAAGTTCAATTGACGAAATTGCTTCATGAAATTGAAGATATTTTGGAAACCAAAAGACAGATTGCATAAGTTCCACAATATCATAAAAGAGCTCAATATATTTTCAAAGTCCACATTTTTTGCTAAGCTTAAAAAGTTCTACAAGTAAATTTTGAAATAACAATAATTATTGGTATCAGCTTAATTTTTTTACAGTTAAAAATAAGTTACTTTAAAATAAGTAACTTTCTATGTCATAACATACTTAATATAAACAAATATTAAGCTACTTAAAATAATTTGTAATTATTTTTAAACTCAGCAAAACATGGGGAGACAAATAGGGAAGTAGGAAATAAAAAGCCTAGTCACTTTTTAGTTGCGCTCAACTCTGGAATCCCAAGTCCAGGTTTTGTCATTTGTGCATAAAAGCTTAAACCTCACTTATCTTTCTCACCTGTAAATTCATTATTATTTCCATTTCTATCAGATCTTTCCTAAATATATGCTGCACATGTTTTTCCTTTTTTTACCAAATATACCTTTGAAATTCAAGAATTTTTCTAATATCAAATGGAAGAGGCTTTTTGTGTGTGAATGTATATAAATTTAATCCTTTTGAAGAATGTTAGTATTCTATTCTTTTCTTGAAAATATTATTGGGTTAAATGGTTGAAAGTTCTTTCTTTTTCCAGTGTCCACTAGAATTGATTCTCTAAATTTGCATTATAAGACCAAAGACTGACTCTTTTTGGCTCAAGGGTCATTACTGAATTTATGTGTCTATTGGTGTGTGTGGATTCTATGTGCTCATAAAGATTATTTCTTTTTTATTTTATTTTATGTCCTTATGCTTCATTTTCAAGGGTTCCTTTCTTTTTCTGAATATCTTTTTGTAGGTAGTTCAAGATGGTGTGTAAATGGTGGATGTCAATACTAGACTGGAGTTTTGTCTTATTTTTTCCATTTGCACCCTCCAAAATAAGTATAAATAGGGATTACTAGTTGTGTATTTTATTCATTGCAGGAACTCTTTGTAATCACTGCAAGTGGGATTCTTCTCCATCGCACATTTATCTGAGTCGAAAATGAGCTTCAGTAGCTCTGCTGAAGGTCTAATTAATTCTTATTCTCCTTTTAATTTGTATATTCTCTTAGTTGTTTAAGTTATAATCTTTTGTAAATTAAGGAAAAACGTATAGCATGATTTTAGATTGACCTTCAAATTTATTAGGTAGCCAAACATCTAGAAGGGCATTTGAGTTTGGAAGGACTCATGTCGTCAGGCCAAGAGGGAGACACGAAGCTACAATCGTTTGGCTTCATGGCCTCGGTGATAAAGGCTCAAGGTATAACAGTCTGCTTCAGTCATATAATGAATGGAGCGTACATTTTTTTTCTTTCTTGATTGATAAGGTGTCCCAAAGTACTTATCATTAATTATATTCATATTGAAATGCATAAAAGAATCTACTTGCAATTGCTAGATGGTGTTTCACTATAATGATTGTGACTCCATTGAATAAGTGTAGAACTTCAACTTCGTTGATGTGATTGCTTTGGAGGTTTTATTGTTTGCTCGGATTAGTTACTTTCAACTTTACTTCATACCTTACATTCAAGTGGCAGATTCATCTCATTTAATCACACAGAGAAATACGTGAGAGACTGTCCAGCTTTTTTTTTCGATCTTGTTAAGTTCTAGAAGATTCTCATTCTCATCATTTAAAGAAGTCAACCCGTTACTTGAACTGAATAATGGCTGTTACTTTGTAAGATTTTGAGGTGGACTCGTGTCTAACACCTTAATATATAGCAGATGTAGAACAGGGGATCACTTCCTCACTAGCCATGTTTTTCCGTTTTAACACTATGGCATGGTATTAAGATCTTTCTGAGTTAATTAAATCCACGGTATGATACAATTGGTTGTCATTTATTGAGGAGCCTATACACTTTCTTTATCTTATACTTAGCATATTTTGTTATTATAATCATTATTTTCAAAGATTTCTTCTTGCAAATGTGGTCCCAGTAGGCATAAGTGGTTTTCAACTTGCTTTTGAAAATTTAAAAGAAAAAAAGTGTGTTGTCTACATGGACTTGGATGTATGCCATCACGAGTGTTTGTCCAATTGTTGGATTTGTCAACTTGCTTTTGAAAATTTACAAGAAAAAATTGCATCGTCAACATGGACACGGATGTATGTCAGACACAGGAGTTTGTTCAATTGTTGGATTTGTTGAAAGGTGTTATGTTATGTTTTATGCAAAGTATCCGCTATCATATCCTTGTCTAATGGTAACATTGATACTTGATCTTCAATGGAAGAGTCCATTAAATATAGATCTCCATTTTAGAGGTTTCTGACCTTCACTTTAATTTTATTTCTTTCTCTGCAGCTGGTCCCAGCTCTTGGAAAACCTTCCTCTTCCAAATGTAAGGATAAATATGAATTTTAGTCATTTTGTATTGCAAGATACACTACTTGTTCCTGTTACATGTAAAGACAAATTAATTAAAGATGCGCACCTAGTTAGTAACTGAATCGTATCATTTTGTTTAAAATGCCATGCAGATAAAGTGGATTTGCCCAACTGCTCCTACTCGACCGGTATCTTTGTTTGGTGGATTTCCTTCCACTGCTTGTAAGATACTCTGCCGTGCACAATTTTATGTTTGTATTCATCTGCAATGAATTAATTACAGTAATAGATTCAATTGGTCACTTATCAGTGTTTCACCATTGATGTAAAAGTCCACTTATTAGCATGTTTGGCTAAGCTTAAAATTCACTTTCAAGTAACTTTTTTGCCAAACATGTCCGCAGTTTTTTCAAAGTTACTTACTTTTTTTTTCAGTACAGAATATTACTTTTTATGCATAGTTAAATATGCTGATATATTGTGAAAATGCTTTCTCTACACCTGCTATGTCAATGAACATACTATGGCACTTACTCCTATCATATTAGGGTTTGATGCAGAAGATATTTCCGAGGATGCACCTGATGATGTAGAGGGATTGGATGCATCGGCAGCATACGTTGCAAATCTTTTGTCAGCAGAGCCTGTTGATAGTAAGTTTCTTCTTCAATGCTTCTAAGATACATATGTACATTAATATCATGTTGTATTACATGATAGAACGAAGTTCTTTAACAGATTAATTAAGTTATTTTTTGTGATGTGAACCCATGTAGCAATTGAAACAACGAAACTCACGACATATTATATCATACCCAAGAAAGCCAAGAATCAACGTTTGAAAGTTTGACCCAATAAATTATTAAATCAAAGAACCAAGACAATTGCCACAATATCTTCACCCCGTGATCACAAAACTTATGAACATTACTTAAATTGATGAATGCCACAAGAATTTAATCCTTGATAAGTTGAGAATTAACTGAATCTAGAATAAGAAGAAAGCAATAAGCCTTGTAATAAATTTCTCAATAATTGTATGCTTTTCAATGAAAATAATAACCATATTTATATGGAATCCCTAAAGCCCTAATAAAAACGGAATTAAACTCTCAAAATAACAAAATTTATCACAAAATAGAGTTTTAACTAAAATAGAAGATTGCGTGAAATTTGAAAAATTCGCGATCGGAAAATACACTATGCGGCCGCATAGTGTAAGTCTATGCAGTTGCATAGATCAACTGGGCTTTTCCTTTGTGGCCTCGATAACAATATCCATTGTTTGAATCAAGTTGCTCAACTTTGTTTCATCTCCCATGTCCAACATGAAACTTGTTCATTTGCTTACCGTGATCAATGTTTCGTTCACCGTTGCTTGAGCAAGCAATCTCATTACTTTTTTGACCCATTTCGCTTGCAATCTAGTCATAGGTCCTTCCTCAACGATCAATGGATCCTTGCTCGGACTTGCTCTTGTATCATGGATCACATCCCCTCCTTCTTCGAAAGGATTCGACGTTGAATCTGTACCTGCATCAAAGAGAAAAAGATAAGAAACAACAAAAATGCAAATTATCATAAACTTACCTTGAAGATCCAAATTGTAGTCATTGGTTTCAATCCTTGCGATGACGTGGAATGGTCCATCTCCTCTAGTATGTAATATTGACCTTCTTTGCATTCAAACAAGTTATTTTTGCCTAAGCACCCAAACTCAATCACCTTGTTCGAATACTTTACTCTTCTTCCTTTTGCTACCTTGAGATGCATATAATTCAATCTCATGCTTTCTATCTAAGCCACCACTTACAATAATAGTTAAAGGAATTAAACCAAACAAGGTTAACGGATTTAACCCATAAACTATATCAAATCGTGTAGTAAAAGTAGTACATGATATTAAATTGGTTCCCAACATATTTCATAAATTCAAACAAAAATAGTTAAGAACTTCAAGATTGAAATGTAGATTCTCATGCCTCAAATCACCAACAATGCACCCGAAATGTCTATCATGCTCAATTAATTTCTTGCAACATACTAGAATATCATTAACTAGTAATTGATTGCCTATAAATGCATATGACAAATGACTTATTATTCTCATAGAAATATTAGATGCATTAATGTGTTAAAGTACATGTCCCATGTGAAAAAATATTACTACGTGTTAGACCATCATCTAACATATGTATGAGGTATTGATTCTTTACCATGCTATAGTTGAATGCTTCTCCTTCAATGCTCATCAAATTCTCCACTTACATCGAATCAATTGGATACTCAATTGGGGGTACTACTAAATAAGTCTTCATGGAATGAGTCTTTGAGTTCCTACAATAAAGAAATATCTAAACTGGGGACGGGTTTGTTAGTTCTCACTAAAGGCCGCTCAATCTCTCATTTTTTTTGCATAGAAACTAATTTTTGATTTTTCTCTCATCTCAACAAACTCTCTCTTTTTCTCATGTGGCTGCTCTTTTTTTCTCACAATTAGCCGCTTCACTATCTTCTCTCCTACTCTCCTTCCCCCTTTCTTTGTTTTATTTTCTTCCTCACCTCTCAATCTCAATTGGTCCTCATATACCTGTTGTGGTGTTAATAATTCAAGAGTAACGGCTCTCTTATCTTTTACAAAGTTGTACCTATTCTTGAATCCATCATGTTTAACCTTCCTACCATACTGTCATGGCTTTCCCAACAAAATGTGCCCTGCATGCATAGGAACTACATCACACATTACTTCGTCACTGTACCTCCCAATTGAGAAATTCACCAAAACTTGCCTACATATCTTAACCTCTCCACATTCATATAACCACTGCAATTTATAAGGCTTAGGATGTTTTATTATAATCAATCACAATTTCTCAATAAATGTAGCAGTAGTACTAGAATATTAGTACACTACCTCCATCAATAATCAAACTATATACCTTATTTTTGACATGGCATCTAGTGTAAAAGATGTTCTCCCGTTGCTACTGTATTGAGAGCACGCATTACCACAAGTAATTCACCTCCTAGCGGGTACTTTATTCTATCTCCTTCATTAGCATCCTCTAACGTGGGCATATCATCACCATCGCCATCGCCATCACTATCACTCACCACTTCTCCATTGTCACGCAAAATTATTGCTTTTTTGTTTGGACATTGAGAAGCAACGTGCATCGATCCCAAACACCTAAAGCATTTGATATCCCGAGTCTTAGAAGGTTGGGAGTCCGTTTTAGGTGTAATTTTGCTAACAACTTCCTCCTTTCCCCTTGGTGGTTCGGTTTTACTACTCGAAACAGCCACATCACCTCAATTATCATTCCACTTCGGTTTCCAAGAAGAGTTAGAACCCGATAAATATCTAGATGTCCCCTTCCTTTTCATTTGTCTTTCCACCTTCGCAACTATATGTGGCATGTCTTCTAAATCCACATACAACTCTGCCACATTAGGTATCTCCCTATTCAAATCATTCAAAAATCGGGCCATGGTGGCCTCCCTATCTTCTTCAACATTCGCTCTAATCACAGCAATCTCTATCTCTGTGTGATAATCCTCCACACTCCTATGACCTTGGTAGATGCTTTGCAATTTTTTATGAAGCTTCCAGTAATAATGATTAAGCACGAACCTCTTCCGCATGATAGCCTTCAATTCTTCTCATGTATTAATAGGCCTCTCACGATTTCTTCTTCTGGATGTTACTACTTGATCCTACCAAATGATAGCATAATCGGTAAATTCAAGTATCGCAATATTTACCTTCTTTACCTCCGAGTAGTAGTGACGATCAAATATCAACTCTACTTTCTTTTCTCACTCCAAGTATGCCTCTGAATCACTCATTCCTTTGAATGAAGGAATTGTCATTTTGATATTTCTCATACTTCTATCAACACCATCTCCAACAGGATATCTACCCCTCCTTTCATGACTAACTTCTCCCTCCCTCATTCTTTCATATTCGACATCCAACAATGCATCATCTAATGTCACTATTCGCTTCACATTCACCAGCAAAATCCTCCGTCGTGATGACTTGACTATTCTTCCCGCTAGAAGTAGAATTGTCTCTGTCAGGCATCATAAATTTAGTTTAATATTTGTCTCACGTGTGTACACTCGTGTATCACTCAATTTGGTTTGTTCTCTCTATTAGTCTTACCACTCAGCCTTTTTCCATTCGATGCTTTCTTGCAAGTGTTTCAAAGAATTAATTCGATCTCAATCAAAATATAATCCTTGTAGAGTTTCAAGCAAATATTTGAGTACGAAAAATTATCTCTAAAATGACTCGAAAAGTAGGAATTGGCACTTTGAATGGAACACTAAGAAAAAAATTTAAGGTGTTCCTTGAATTTGAATTTGACACTTTTGAATTTGAATTTTTTTTACTTAAAAAAATGAAATTGTACGTTGCTGGCAATTTTTTTCTGAATTTCGATTTTTTTCTTTTTTTTGCTAGGAAATTCAACTTAGGTACCAGCAAAAGAAACAAAAACTAATTTGGATGCTAAATTAGCACACTAACAAGTTTTGAAATTTTATGGATTGGAGACGGAAAAAATTGAAGAACGCGAAGAACATGGAGAATGAAAAACAAAGACTCAAACAAAAGAAAAAACATATAACTTTGATTTTTGGAGACTTGCTCTAACATCAACTGATGCGAACCCACGTAGCAATTGAAATTACGAACCCTGCGATAGATTAGATCAAACCCAAGAAAGTCAAAAATTAACGTTTGAAAGTTCGACCCAATAAATTGTTGAATCAAAGAACCAAGACAATCGCCACAATATTTTGACCCCGTGATCACAAAATTATAAACCTTAAATTGATGAACGCCACAAGAAGTTAATTCTTGATAAGTTCAGAATTAATTGAATAAAGAAGAAGAAGAAGAAGAAAACAATAAGCCTTGCAATAAATTTCTCAATAATTGTGTATTTTTCAATGAAAATAATAATTCTATTTATATGGGATCCCTAGAACCCTAGTAAAAACGGAATTAAACTCTAAAAATAACAAAATATATCAAAAAATAGAGTTTTAATTAAAATAGAAGATTGCGCGAAATTTGAAAAATTTAGGATCGGAAAATACACTATGCGACCGACCGCATAGTGTAAGTCTATGCGGTCGCATAGATCAGCTGGGCTTCTCCTTTGTGGCCTCGGTAAAGGGGCATGCGGTCTAAACAACTGTGCGGTCGCATAGTTGTTCCTTCCAGCTTCCCCGTCCATTGCTTGAATCAAGTTACTCAGCTTCGTTTTCATCTCTCATGCCCAACATGAAACTTGTCCATTTGCCTGCTGTGATCAATGTTTCGTCTACCGTGACTTGAACAAGTAGTCACATTGCTTCTTTGACCCGCTTTGCTCGCAACTTAGTCATAGGCCCTTCCTCAACGATCAATGGATCCTTGCGCGGAGTTGCCCTCGTATCATGGATCACATCATTTTGGGTATGCTATATTTTAGCATCTTATTCAAAATTACGTCTAACATACTTTCTACAAATCAGAAGTTTACATTGCACAATTTCTTTTTCGTATTCATATAAAGATCATCACCGAAAGAACCAATAATGCATGCATGAACTAATCGTTAGGTAAGAGTTGTTATAGGACGTTGGACTCCTTGGTGAGACTTCCAATTGTTGGAAATCAGCAAATTTAGTTGGTTAATATGCTGTGTGAACTGAAAGCCCAGAAGTGGTAATTTTCTCGCTTTTGATGTCTGGTTCATTGCAGAAACAGCAATTTCGATATCTCATTCACTCTTAGTAATCAACATTAGGATGTCCAGACAGGTTTAGGATGGTCTGAATTTAAATTTTTGTCATCAGTAACTTGATCATGACCTTTCATTAGCCTTTAAAAAATGTATTTGCAAGTAAAGTCAATAGTGATGCTTCCAGAAAGTTTTTCATAAAATTAACAAAGTCGATGTTTTTGTAGTGTGTCAAATGTTCTTTTAAATTGTTATAATAATTTTCCAGAAATTATCATCAACTTTAAAGTACATTAGCTCATTTTTACCAGATATGATATTTCTCTACTAGATATTATGTCAATTGATATTCCACCAACCTCATTATTCAGAATTGAACTGATCATATATTATCTCCCTTATCCAGTTTCCTGATATTTATGTTGATGAAAAAGGAAAGCTCCTTTACTGTAGCGAGTCTAGCTACTTCAAGAGGCTCAGCAATCTATAATTGCATATAGATATGTATAATTTTGTTATTTTCTACAGTTAAACTAGGTGTTGGAGGATTTAGTATGGGTGCTGCAACCGCTCTCTACTCAGCCACGTGTCATGTTTTTGGACGGTACGGAAACAGAAACCCGTACCCAGTTAACCTGAGCTCTGTTGTTGGTCTTAGTGGCTGGCTACCATGTTCAAGGTATTACTTCATTTATACTCTCGAGCACACAACATTAGTACCCTACCAGAGCATGCTCTTGGTAGTCACACGTTTCTTTGCACTCAGCAACTGATTGTTTTCTAGGATACTGAGAAACCAGCTGAAGGAATCCAATGACACTGTAGCGCGTGCAGCGACATTGCCTATTTTACTCTGTCATGGACCTGGTACTTACATTTATGTGTATTTTAATTTTTCAATATTAAGGTCTATAGCCTATTTGCAGTTATATTCATTTTGCTTTGGAAATACTTTTAGACCTGCCATTCTGAAGGGCAGGTTCCATGCACAGTAAATTTTGGATCTCAACAATAAAATTTGGGCTAAAGGGGTTTTCTTTGAGAGCCCTTCTCAAGGGATTAGTTTAAATGATCTACCAAAGAGTACACATGCTTTAAGATTGCTTGTGCAAGGAAGTCTTAAATTTATTGTGGAAAGAAATAGGCCTCCCGGCAGTTATTTAAACAATATATACCTTAAGCCCATGTTTGGTACACATTAAAATTTTTCATTCTCATTCTTCTACTCATTTTCAACCACACATTTTTCAATAAAATAATATTTTCCATTATATCAATAAATTTTCCTTCTTTTTCAACCACACATTTTCCATCAACTTACTATTCCAAAATACATTTTTCCAAAATAATGTGGTTCAAACACACCCTNGAATACATTCTTTTAAAATAATGTGGCTCAAATACACCCTAAATCTTAATAACACACAAAAGGACACAAGCACCATCATAGCTGATTTGTCAGTCTCCATTTGGCATGACAAATGTAGGACTTTATGGGCAAAAAGGGCATCCTAATGGGGCTTTAAGTTCAGGTTTACCGTGGAGGAAATGTTCATATGATTTTACAGTCTATCAAATTACCAAGCTATTTCTGTTTCAGGAGATGAAGTGGTGGCTTATAAACATGGAGAAAAATCTGCACGTATATTAAGTTCGGCTGGGTTTCAAAATCTTACATTTAGAACATATGACGGGTATTTATATGCTCGTACTTTGATAACCGTGATTCTGTTTTCATAAATAATACCAGGTTAATTGATTTCTCGCTGTACTTATTTCATTTTTTTTGCCGCATTTCTTTCTCACAGACTTGGCCATTATACCATTCCTGAAGAAATGNCACAGACTTGGCCATTATACCATTCCTGAAGAAATGGAAGACGTCTGTCGCTGGTTAACTGCAAGATTGGGGCTTGGGGGATCTTAATTCTTAGAAAGCCTACGAGGAAGCATGGGGTATACATGAAGAAAGAAAAAATAAGTGTAACAGCTATAGAAAGATGTAGCTCAATAAGATGGGAAGTTTATACGTATGCGGTTTATAATTCTCTATATTTTGCATTGCTGAAGATAAATGATGCCTATTTTATTGATGTTTTACCCTTAGTTCCTTCTCTTACAAGAAGAGATCAAAGAAACTTCTGCCTTTATTTTCTCTCTTTTTTCACTTTCCATTTTCCTTTTACCTTAAGGGTGCGTTTGATTGTAAGGGTGGAAAATAGGTGGAAAGAAAATGTATTCTAGGGAAAATGCTTTGCCTAGAAATCATTTTGCTGGAAATTGTCAATGAAGTGTGTTTGATTGGTAT